TAGTCGTATGCCACGGTAACACATCGTACGCAGATCTTTTCACAAAGCTCAGCTTCAGCGGGGCCATTCGCCAGATCTCACCCCATGTCAATATTCGCGGCAAGGTTCTCTGGAGGCTGATCCACTGGCTTGCTTCCACTAATGCGCGGCTTTTTGGACCCGAGTTTCGTTTTCGGCGTTTCCTATTCGCTATATTATCATGTCTTTGCGCTCTTTGGCTGTGGCTTTTGACCACCAACTGACTTTCCCTTGTCCTAAGCCACGTCAAGTTGTTTGTGTGTACCCGATGACCTCTTTCAATTTCTTGGGCAGATTATTTCCATTTCTTAACTGTCTTTAGAGCAGGCTGGACAGGTGCTGCTTTCAGGTCAAAAGACTCGCGCAGCATCATCGAGAGTCTTACCTTGCCGACTTTAATCTCGTCGGTTATTGACTTAAACGGAAGTACTTTCTTAGCCTGCTGACAATACAGACCCAAATCGGTCAGACAAGACGGTGCGTAAAGCCATTTCCTCATGGCTGTGTTGATTTTTCTCTCCATCATCTCCACTGCAGTCATGCTTACTTCGTGCATGAGCAGCCGTTAGAGGAGCTTTGGAATAATATGAACTGGAGACACCAGACTTTAAACTTTCCGGTCAACCTGCAGTGCTCGATCGCGAGCAGGCCTGTAGCCAGTGACTTATGTAGGCGCCGGACTTCCACTTTGTCAGATAACTTCGAATCCTAGATGCGACCGAGACTCTTCACTGGTTCCTTCAGAACCGTGGCGATCCATTTCTTTGCAACCGTTTAACTGACTGCCGCCACCTTAACTTTAAGGATTGACAAACTTCTTGATCGCGTGTGCAACTGCTGATCTGATGGTAACTTCTGCTACCGTCGATGATGAACTGCACTTCTAATGTCGGACTGTTTGTGTTAGCACTTCTGGTGGATACCGTAAGCTTTTAATGCGTATTTGTGCCAGTGCAAATGCAGAGACATCAGTCTGTCAATCTTTCCACAAGGGACTGTGATTAACATTCTGTGTGTTTTTTCGTTGGCACAGGAGCGGAGCAACTATGGGGCGACCCGTTTGCTGTGAAGCTGAAACTAAGATTACCAGATTACCAACAATCTAATCTGTCACTGATGGAAGTAGTCAGGCACAATAAGCTGGCTACCATATATACGTAGGGTATTTCACCATCTCACAGGTAAACCGACTATCGGTCAGTCATATTGAACAACACGACACAACTGCAACACAAATGAAAGGCTTTCCACTGGAAAAACACATCTTACAGAGTGCAACCAAGCACTAAATTCAGTAGCTCAGGCAGCAAAACTTTAGACCACAGTCGTTGCGTGAAAAATGTGTATGTATTTTATGTTCAGTAGTGTAAGGGCGTCGGCTCTGTCGCTAAGTCGATGCGAACGCCTTGTAATGCCGGGATGCCGGGTTAGATCCCAGCTGCGGGCCATGTGCATTGCGTTGGTTTCGACAGTGGTATTAAAAAAAGCCGACCGTCCAGAAAGCAATGGAAAACTACTGGACGTAGATTTGCCTAGAAAAACCACACAACAGCCAGGGGCTGCTGGGGTTGGTTCTGTAACGTCCTGTAAAGGATAGGCAACCAACCTAGTGTAGAGGCTAGACACAAATATCGTGGGTTCAAATCCGAACGAAGCAAGGCTTCTTTTTTTAATGACCTTGACTTCCTAGTCCACAGAGCCTTCAATAGGTACTAGATAAAGCCCTGGGAAGTGAAGGCGATCGGCGTGATGTTGACGAATACGCATGAGAGCGTTTGCAATTCCCCCAGTTCTGTGGGCGCTTCTCACAGTTCTAGAAATCAGCACAAACGGTTTTCTGTCTAATTCCCCCACAATTAATTATTTCCAATCGGTTATTTTTAAGTCAAAAACCATGCTCATAACCACTGAGGCACAGACGCCAATGAAAAGTAGTATAAAACTGAAAATGGCAGCGCCCTACCGCTTTAGATTGCATACAACTACAGGCATAATGGATAAAGCACTTATGGATCAGCTCCGAATGATACAATCAATTGAAGGGTTCATGTACCATACCCAGGAAACCCCAATCAGGGGATCTGGCCGACGCTCAACACTTAGGGGAAGGATGAGACGGATATACAATCATACGGTTACTAGTACCATTGGAATTAAAACTCTTCGCTTGCTGCTTAAGATGGGGACTGAGCACTTTTGTGTCTCGAGTGTTGTGGTGTCGATTCTGAATTCAACATTTATCCAAGGAAATCCCAATGTAACAATTAACATTCTAACTGTGCAGACAGATTGGTTACGAAGTCACTGCTACAGTTGGAGGTTCGTAACATCAAAATAGCTAATGGCAATTCCTACTGAGTAGTGAGTGAACTTCGGAACGTGGTTACAAGGTGCAAAACAGAGAAAAAAAAAAGAGTAAAGGGACAGCGAAGAGATAAATATCTGGATTCTTCTTCTTCTTCTCTTCCACCTTGTACCTAATCGAAGTGTCGGGGGGAGATGTAACATTCGTTAGTGAGCTTTGTCAAGAGCACTATTAAGACTTATGTTCATTTCTGTAAGCAGTACTTAATGCCATCACTCCATATTTTCCGAGGTCTTCCACTCGCTCTATACCCGTTGTAACGTTTTAGTGTGGCTCGCTGTGGCAGATAGTACCAGGGCATTCTTGTTAGGTGTCCAAACCACTTCATTTGTTGTTCTTTGGTGACCTGTAAAACTGAGTTTATTCCTGATTTCGTGATTTCGTATTCGGTTTTTCTTTGAAACTCCTGCAGCTCTTCTAGAGCATTTCATCTCTGTTGTCACAATTTTACGATCATTGAAGGATGTAAGTGTCCACGTTTGGCATTGATAGCATAGAGTTGGCCAAAAAATAGTTCTGATAAGATTCACTGTAGTACTCCGAGGTATCTGCTTGTGTGTCAACAGGGGAGATAGATGCCCCATTACTTGATTAGCTTTGGCACATCTGGAGCTAATTTCTCTGTCCAGTTTTCCGTCGGATGTGAAAATTGCTTCCCAAATACTAAATTCCTCTGTTTGTCTCAGGGTGTTGTTTTTAAAAGTTTTTTTTTTTTTTAATTGTCTTTATGTCTTCCTATTATCACTGTCTCTGTCTTTGTAGTGTTTATTTTCATATTAGATTCTTCCCCTTTGTTAGGTGTATAATTGGATTGCTAAGCCATATAGATAGGGCGGGACACGAGCACTGACCTGATCAGTGATTGCAGTGTTCATGTGAGCTGTCGAAACACAGCCATCTACTATTATGGGTGGGATATTGTAATATCAAAAGAATAATACCCAATAACAATTCGGTCTATGGGGTGAATATAAGCGAGTACAAAGAGCAAGGGAAGGGCAAAGTGATAAATATATAGATGACCAGGCCATACTGATAGAGCGGGACGCAAGCACTGACCTATTTTATCGTTCTAGTGTTCGTGTTAGATAGCGAAACATCACTATTTAAAGCTTTCGACAGGGCCCACGATGATGATGACTGAGGGCAGCTGGCTGAAACAGATACCTCTGTTTGAACCTTCGGTAAGGTGATTAAATAGAAAAATGTCTACTGTTTTTTTGAAGGGGGGGGGGGGGAAGCCTGCACATTTCGTGGCGAATACACTTGTAATATGACCATAAATCCTTAGAGTCAAAATTCCCTATCCTGCAGCTAAACAATGGTGATATCTACAGACATCAATTCGGATCGGAAGGTCGTTGGTTGGCTCCCTGGCAGAGCCAAATTTTTCTGGTTTTATCAAAAACAACCTTAGATCCCAGGTCGACCCAGTCTAAAGTGGGTACCGGGTGCAGTGATGCTGACCACGTCGCCTATCTTGTGCCGATTGGTCTATAAAATAAAAGTCTAGCCCTATATGCCCTATACGCCAAATACACTAGTTTCATAAATAATACTGTATGTAATGTAATCAATCACAATCCCTTTGCTGTATACAAGCCAATCAAAGCGCTGGAAAAAAAAATACAAAAGACTTTACACAATATCTCAGCTTTCTGTTACCTATTTTGTAAAAAAATGTGAAACAAATTTTCTTGTTGAGAATGCCACCATCCTTATCAACTACTTGTCCGGAAGAAAGCGTTTGACCCCTGTTCAATAATTAGACTCTTTTTGACAATCCTGACACATAATCTCAACTGCCGAAAAATGCCACGTAATAAACTATACAATTTAATATCTGTGTCTGCGTTATTTGAAAAACAAATTTAAGAAACGGACTTCTATCGAACCAAAACATGGTTATTATCTTTATCACAAGAGTTGTATCTTTAGACAGATCAGAATATTCCAGATTCAGTTATTACATCCATGGAAAATTGAGGAGGCGGTCTACAGTAAAAATATGGCTGTAGTCAAGTACCTCAAACTTTTGAACAGCGAATCAACATCATGGCACACGGATGTAACCTATAAGTGCTCCGTTCTTCTTCTAACTTTATTCGAGCCCGAAGAAGCCCAGAACAGTGCACAGGCTCTGTAGCACCGGAAAGGATCCTGAAATACTTTGGGTAAATTTTTAACTCCAAATTTTGCCCGGGCAGTTCAGCTAGGCTACTCTTTTCGATTTCCAACTGCCAAGGGATTTTTTAGTAGTCGAAGTGGAGGAGAGCAAAGAAGACACTGCAATGACAACATCAAGAAGTAGACAAGATATTGTATCATTCCCTTATTCATCTAGCGAAAGACAGAGAAAGATTGCAGGTTTTATTTGCTAGTTCTTCTATCGATACACCTTCACGACCCTAACGTGTCAAGGGTTATGTTATGTTGTTAACGTTTGAGTTTCTATTTAATCTGTTTCTTTCTTCTGCAGAATTCACAGATTAGGAAAAGCAGCAGCTTGAGTTCAGTACCGACATCACAGCACATTCTCATACTCGCTAAGTCCCATCTTCAGCTGTTACCTAGCGAAGAGTTCCACTGCCAGTAGCAGTAGCAGAAGTTAGATGAT